CCCCTACAAGCCTTAATTGACACTGCATAGTCTCATTTAGTTCCCTCCCCCTTTCTAGGACAGTTTCATTTCTAGGTTCACGACTTTGAGCAGCCCTGCAAGAGGGTATGTCAATTAAAAACCAATGGCTGGCTCATGCCAGTGGGCTTGGGCTAAGGGGTTATTCAACTGAGGTGTAGACTTTTGGGCTTGACCCCGTGAGGTGGGAGAGTCTCAGAGCTTGGACTGCAGCCCCAGCCCAAATGTCTACACAGCAATTAAATAGCCCTTTAATGCTGAGCCCCATGAGCCAGAGTCAGCTGGCACAGGCCAGCCACAGGTGTCTAATTGCAGTGTAGACATACCCTAAGTGGTCACTTATTCCAAGAATTCTCCATTTCTGGGGAAGTTTAGTCTGTTGCCCCTTGATCATAGTACTTTTTAAAATGCTCCAATCTTCTTCCTCACTTGTGAGTTCTAACACTTCCTCCTCCCATTGCTCCATGCTCACTAACTTGTTTAATTCCTCACAATATATTTTTTTGAACCTAATCCCTTTGGAGGGCTATGTCCTGTAAACCTATTGCTCGCCACGTGTCACTGATACTAAGATTTCCTATTAGTCTCATACTTTCAGTTCCTCTCTACTAGAACAAAGTGTTTCAAGTTAGTGTCTCTATTTAAAATTTGTATTAAAGCTAACGTTAAAAAAATTATATAATACATAGGTTGAGAAACGAGTGTCTGTACATCTGGGAATAGTGCTTAGACTATCCACAAATACAAAGTTTGTTTTTAAAAGTCATATGATACATAGAGTACATAATCAGCAATAACCCAAATTTCGGTGAATAGATTTAACAATAGTTTAGATATTAGAATCCAAGTACTCCGGTACATCACTCATGAAAAGTGTACAGAGATTTGGTTAAGCAAAATATATCAACGAATGAGGATTGTCCCTCAGTAATTGACAATTAGGTAGGTTGTCCATTTAGAAAATACAATCCATGAGGAAAGTATTTCAGTTACTTTCCTGACTGCGCTTCTCAAAATTGTGCTCTATAACGATTAGAAAATACACTTGTTTCATTAGAACTACTCCTCCAACTCCTCTTCCCATTCTAAGCCTTCTATTATTATTTTACGACACCCAAGAATGTGTTTGATGTCTCATACATGTACAACCTGTGCTTAGACTACACACAAATTTATGTAAATTTCCATTTGTGAAAATCATCACATCGTATTTCTGTTAGGCCCAGTACAACAATTTAGGATATCCTGCCTAAATCCTAATCTGGACCCTGCCAAATTCCAGATGTTTCCTCAGAGAACTCTACTGAATTTAGAAGCCAAGGGGCATAAGAATTAGTAAGGCATGACAACCAGGCTCGGACTTCTGCTATCAATGCTCTGCAAAGGAAGGACATTCCTCCTTGGACTTGCATGGTTCTCACAGAAAAATCAGGAAGAAAGCAGGCTCAAACATTGATGAAGGCAAACACAGAATGCTAGCTGTCACAGAGAGACTTCAGCACAAGGAATTCTTACAAACTTTTGTCATTACCATTAAAAATAGAAAGAGACCAACTTCTCTTCTGTCACAGACCCATAACTCACAAACTGCTTCCATCTGGTCACAGAACTCAGCCAGGCTCACTGTGCTGCAAGGAACTATCAAACCATTTCTCAAAGATCCCTTGCATCAGGACAGACTCTGGGGACACCAAGTTCAGCAAGATGAGCACTGGATCAACACCACCCTACTTCTAAGAATTCATCCCACTCAGACAACAAGATGTTCCTGAAGTCAAAACACAGTCCAGGCCACCACCTGCCACTCTAATGCAGGCCAGTCCTGGCCAATGAAAGGGTTGAAAACATCTAGTATTCCTGATTACAGGGATAGTCAACATCTCCTGTGAAGAAGGGAATCTATCACTCCAGCCAACACTTAAGATACTAAAATGCAACCCCAGCAATATCACAAAACACTGCCCACTGTTTTTGAGAAAGCTGTCTGAGAAGCTGGCAAAGAACTGACTTCAACTTGAACTACCAGTTGCCAGCATCCTAGATCCTTCTCAACATTTCAGGCCAGGGCACAAAACCAAGACAACGGTGGTTGTTCTGGTGGATGACTTCCTCTTGTCATCCAAGATTCTGTAGATGTCCCTCTGGAATATGACACAGCATTATATGCTGGCTGATGGTTCTATTTGCCCCCTCCAGTTTTCTCAGTGCCTGGCCAAAAACAGCATCTGGAGTAAGAGCAGTTGCTGAAAGCTGGACACTGGCAAGACAGAGGTGATACTGATGGGGACAAGAAGAAACTTACCTCCTGCACTCCAGTCATTAACTGAGACCACAGTCTCAGTGATGTTCTGGACTCCACATGCTTAGAGCATGCTGGTGAGCTCAATATATAAATCTGCTAATGACTGGTTACATTAGAAAGATAAATAAACCTAAAACGGTAAGTTGAAAGGTGTGAGGGGCTGGGTAGAAAACTGTACTAGAGCAAGAGACAAAGAGAATAGAATATATTTTTGTTGAAATGGAGTGTACTCCAGACCTTTCTCATAGGGCTTCTGCCTCCATGCTTGGGAGTTCAAGGGTTCTGAAAATAAGATCTTCAAGTTGGCAGATGAGACAAAGCCTGGAGACAAAGAAAGGAAAGAAGAATGTGACAGCCAGAATCCAAGAGACTTGGCTGGTCTAGATGACTGGAGAGCAGAGGCATTCATTGTAAAAATATTAAATAATCTGGGAGTAAGGAAGCAGTTCAGGGAATCTGAACAAAATGTAATTACCATTCCCCACAGTGATCAGAAGAGCTGCAGGTTACTGTGAGGGAACCATTCAGTCCATCAGCTCAGCACACCGCCACAGTAAAAAGGAGAAATCAGAAAAGGAAGGTTACTCATCTGTAACTGGAGTTCTTGGAGATGACCTCTGTACATCCCCAGAGTGGGAATGTCCAGAGATCATCTCAAAGAACTAAAGAGTTATAATAGCAGACGGACCGAATATAAATCAAGGCACTGAGACTGTTAGCCTAGCCCTAAGGTATGTAGACCCCGTAGAGATAATAGGTGCAGTTCTGCACACTTCACAGAAAGGGGCTGACAGCACAGATTATACTAGTTGGAACAATGATAAAGAAAGGTTAAGGAATCTGAGTTTATGCTCACTGGTAAAAGGTGGTCTCCAAAATATGAAAGGGATTGATACAGTTGATAGAAATATATTTTTATACTGATGAAGATTTAAAAAACTAGAGGATGTAATCTAAAAGTTGAGAAAACTAGACACAAGAGTAAACAGGAAATCAGATAGAAGTATACCATGCAAGCGGTGATAAACATATGGGGAAAATTCAGCAGGAAAAGTAGCTGAAGCAAGCAAAGAGACACTTTGGCTTGCTTCTTAAGGGGAAAATGGAGGGGTCAAATGAAAACCACAGTAGCGTGGAATTAAGAAACATAGAAGCACTTGTTTTCTGAACCAGACAACCTTTTTCTAATGCAAAAAGTTCTTATGATAATTCTGCTAGTTACAACATGGGTCAAAATACATCTTATCTGGGTTCTTTAGTATGTTCTACAGCATTCAAGAACAACAAAAACAGAAAGAAAAGAAAACAGAAATTGATCCCACAGACTGAGAGAAAATACACATTTCCAATTAGGAATGATAGTGTGTTAGATTCTCAAATAATGATGTACTATTGGCCAGTATTTATTCAGGACCTCATCCAGAGAGGTGCAGAGCCCATCCTATGATGTTCACAGTACCCTCCACAACCAGCTCAGCGCCTCACAGCAGCAGGCCCCTGGTGAGTAGATCAAAATTCCATAGCAACTGCAGTTACAATTTGCCTGATCTGAACTCTTGCTTGTATGATTCTGGATCTGTGCCCATCCTAATGCTGATACTTTTCAGAGCAGCACAATAATAGAGATAAATAAAGCACCAGTTATTATAGAAACAATCACCTTTGCTGACAACACACACATGCTAGTGGGTTTTTAAATATTTTTCAAGACAGGTTAGATGATTTTCTACTCCTTTATTTTGCTTTCTGTATAGAACAAGGTACACTGGCAATTAATGGTCCTGCTTCTACAAATTCTATAAACTCATTTTGTTAAATTGCTGTTTTTTAAGAATTACTTTCAGCAGCTGTAAATGGGTGAAAGTTTAATACAGAAGTGAGATGTATAGAAGTCATAAGATGCATAGAGGAAGGCTTATTGATTTTCTTATGATCATTCAACACAGTTCAAGGGGAAATCTGCAATTTCAACACACTGTCTGGCTGGAAAAATTAAGTTGTTGAAATTTCAACTGCTTACAAATTTAGTTGTCTTTGAGTCTGTAATAAAACTTAAAGTTCCTCTTCTGACTAGCCATTTAATTTATAACAAAATGTGTGATTGCTATGTTTTCTTAAACATAAAAGATCAGGCATTTCCATTTGTGATAACTGTAGATGCCTGAATTCAGCTTCTCTTCCCTCCAATTTCTTAACTTGTCTGAGTAAGTCCAGGGGCGGCTCTAGCTTTTTTGCTGCCCCAAGCACGGCAGGCAGGCTGCCTTCAGCGGCCTGCCTGCGGGAGGTCCGCCAGTCCCGCGGCTTCGGCGTACCCGCCACCGAATTGCCGCCGAAGCCACAGGACCGGCGGACCTCCCACAGACATGCCGCCGAAGGCTGCCTGACTGCCGCCCTCACAGGGACCAGCAGGGTGCCCCCCATGGCTTGCCGCCCCAGGCACGCGCTTGGAGCGCTGGTGCCTGGAGCCACCGCTGAGTAAGTCATACATCAGAGGCTAGAATGATGAGGGAGATCTAAGAATATGTCCTTTAATTTAACTGGCCTCATCTTCAAAAGGAAGTTGTATAGGTTGTTGACAACATTCACTTTTCCAAATATATGGGAAGGATGTTTGAGGAGCAGCCAGTTGTTTGTTAGATTTAAGAAAACTGCACCCTTAATATTTAGTTTGATTCATTACCATCCAGTGCCAATAAACTGGTTCCAGTCGTTTCCATTCCAGAAAGGCTTCTAATCGAGAGGTTTCAGACTCCAGTAACTGCAACAACTGGGGAGGGGGGAAAAAAGAAAAGAAAATCAAGTCCCATTTAGTCATCTGTGCAATATATAAGGTGCAATTTTTAAAGCCTGTTTGGTCTGAATAATGAAGGCTACCCAATCACATACCAGGTTCCACTTCTTATGTCGTACACATTCATCATAGTCACCTTATAGATTGACATTTACAGGTAGAACATTGGTTTGCTAAAGATATAAGGATTTGGAATATATATAAACTTGTCTGGATGTATACATCCCACCCTACTCTAACTGCAAACAGGAATGCTTCTTCCAGAAGGCAATGGGGTACACAGTGAGGAACAGAGTCCTGTGTATCCAATACTCCAGCAATTTCTTCCTTCTGACTATATGCTGCTATGACTGGGGCTTGCACTATACATTATTTAGTGGGAAGCAATGTAAATCCCAGCTATGCAAATATGGCGTGGAACTGAAGAAAAGCTTTTCCTCACATCTATAATGCATTCCAGTCCCCAGCCATACAATTACCATAATCCCCATATACACATTCGTGGCTTCACATGTCAGTTTGAAGGGATCAAGACAATACAACTCATATATAAAAAGGTCTTTACTCATGTAGATCCTGAAACCTCATGTGCTTCTTAGATACCAAAATTAACACCACAGCTCAGCCACACTCCACACACTGCTGCTAAAGTGGTCACTCCCACATTTGGATCAAACCATGTCCCCCACTATTCTTTGAGTCTGGCCAACATACCAAGTTTCGATCCCGTCTCTTCTCTTTGAGGTCCTGCACAGCCGTGTCCCAGCCAACATCTAGAACCTGATCTCCTATTGCATCCCCTCCAACTCCACCATTCTAGAAACCATGTCAACACTGACATCCAGTTATTTCTACTTCTCCCATCTCTGTGCCTTTTTCCACACTGCTCCTATGCACAGAATGACCTCAGAATCTCAGGATGCCAAGCCCATCTCCCTGCTCCTTATCCAAATCATTTAGAAACATTCACTTCTCCTGCAGTGTCCACAAATAGTAACTGACAAGAAGGAATTCTTTCTGAAATGTTATGTATAGCCAGATCGTCTCCCTCACTGCTCCTGTTGCACAAGGAGCTCCTCTACCATAGTTCCTATTTGTAGGCAATGCAAGAAGTGAGGGTTTTTACAAATGATTTTTAAATTGTGTATACCTAGAGGGGGAGAAAATAAATATCACCAGATTCTTCCCCCCGTTTCAGATTGTATATGTATATAATGGCCTCCATTTTCAAAAGGGGAAACCTAACTTGAGTCAGTTTAGAGAGAAGTGGAAATTACTGTGCACCTTCCCTCAGGCTACTATGGCAGCTTAAGCTGGGCACACAAAATTAACAGTCCCTTTGGAAAATTAAGATGAATATACAAAGTTGGAGACAGAGATCCCAAGAATGGCTAGTTATACAGCAGTACAATAAAGAGATTCCAAAAACTCTTCTAGCCAGAACAAGATTGATGGGAAAACAGGAGATAAACAGAAGATAAGTAAATTATGTGCAAGTGCCAAAGTCACTCACCAGCTTTGTGATTAAAAAAAGGCATCGGGGTAAAGGCCACTATTCAAAATGAATGAGTCCATGCCACTATGGCATCGCAGGCAAGTTTTTGAAGAACTCCAAAAGCATTTTTCTGTCATGATTTCAAAGATGAAGATCAAGACTGGAGCTCTAATTCAATCTACTTACTGCTGACATAACTGTTTTCAGCCAGCTTTGTGGCTTTTACTTACTTTGTACTTCAACGGCTACGAGAACCCAAAAACAGGAGTTATTTGCTTTGCTATTTTACCCCTCAGAAATAATCTGAAGCTGACAGAATGAGGGGAGGAAAGGCACTATGTTAAAATGATTGCTACAAATTACTGAATGCTAGATCTAAAACACGTTACACACTGTTCATGCAAACAACACAGGCTGATGTGTACTTCTTTACTGTTGTCAGTGACTGCCAGTTACAGGATTAGCAGGGATGTTAAAGGCGACCTGCAAAGAGAGAGGGAGGAGGAGAATTGGACTTCTGCCCCTTTTGCTGCAGTATGACAGCTAAAGAGGGGCTGACGGTTGGGGGGGGCGGGGATCTTTGTTCATTTGGGGTTTTCTTTTTGTTAAAAAAACCTTAGAAATATCACAAGTCAGCTTTGATCTTTCCTAGTTTGGCTGAAGGAACTATGGATATTTCAGAAGATGTATGTTATTAGCTCTCACGCCTTAACAAGAGCATTGAGCCTTCACCAAAGGCTTTCTTTCTCCAACATGTTAGTCAGTGGAACTAAATATGGGTTAAGTAAAAACAAAGCAACTTAATCAGTCTGGCTACTAACCTCTTCCTCTCCTCATTGCTCAGCTGTCACACACTTAGCTTGTGTGCTTTCATTTCCCCCAGTTCTCCCCATAATCCTACAGTCTTCAGGTCTGGTTAGGACTTGAAATTGTAATGTAAAGAACAAGCAGTATTTTTTTTAAAAACCCTTCCATTAGTCATGTGAAGTAAGAAACTACAAAAGCGACTGCTTTTCTCATGCTCTTGTTTTAACTGGTTTTATTCAACTCAATTAGCACATGGGAAGCATTCATTCAATTCACCACAGGTCAGAGACAACTGTTCACTTTTCACCAATGCGCTGCAACATTTGAAATGTCTGTAACAGCCACCAACTCTGTGCTAGACGGCTTATGCCATAAATCAGTAATGGGGTGATTACAGAGCTAATCCTAGGGGGATGGTATTCAAACCCACTGGAACGTTCAATGACAGGCGACTGGCAGCGTCAAAGATGTTAGTTTCCATCCCTTGAGATGGTTGTCACTATTTCTGGGTGGCAGGATTCTGTTATCCTTTTCACAGCTCTTGCAGGTTTATGAAGTTATTGCAGCACAGAGACTAGAGGGAAGCATAATATAAGTGGAATCTCTAAGGTGGAATCTCCATCCTTAGAGGTTTTCAAGGCCTGGCTTGACAAAGCCCTGGCTGGGATGATTTAGTTGGGGTTGGTCCTGCTTTGAGCAGGGGGTTGGACTAGATGACCTCCTGAGGTCTCTTCCAACCCTAATCTTCTATGATAAGCTAATGTTCTACAGATATCGTTCACATCTTACTGCAAAAATAAACAAACAAAAGCTAGTCTGCTTCCAAAAAGGTTTCTTCTGGGTCCAAGGTGCCACTAATCCAGACTCATGGGCTCTCTCCTGGTGCCCTAACAGGCAGAGGCTTTCAGTCACACATACCTGCCCTCAGCAGGCAAAGACCTCCCTGTGATGGGATGTGCACCCCACACCAGCCCTGATAGTGTTCATGAGGGCCCGAGAGGCCAATTAAGTTACCTGGCATCACCTGAGGGTATGTCTACACTACAAACATAAGTCAACCTATATTAGGTCGACTTATAGCCACCACAGTAATTACTGTGGAGGTGCATGTCCACACTACCCTCCTTCTGTCAGTGGTGCGCATCCTCACCAGGAGCACTTCCACTAACCTAAGAGGGGTAGTGTGGGGAGCTGAGAGCCCGGTGTCTCAGCTCCGCTGGCAGCTCTCTGCTGGGAGCCTGGCTGTCCCACAGGCTCTTGGGCTCTGGCAGGCTGCCACTCCCCCCTCCCGCATTCCCCACTGGGAGCTGGGGGAATCCACTTCTCACCCCTGGAAAGTGGGTCCAGCTGCCCCAGCTTCTTGGCCACCCACCCACGCACTCCCGCTGGGAGCTGGGCAGCCTTTTCAATTTCACAGCTTAGTCCAAAGCCACGGGGCTGGCTCCCAGCTAGGAGCAGGATCCAGCCATCCAGCTCTCCACGGGAGCAGGGGGCAGGTGAGCTCTAGCTGCCCAGCTTTCTTGTCAACGTCACAGCTCCTGCCAAGTTATCAGAAGAGAGATTGTCGGAGAGCAAGCTGAGAGCAGAAGGGGGCACCCGACGCCACGAGATCTACTTTCCAGATCTAGACACGAGGCGACGCACTACTGTTGAGTGGGAACCCTGTTACCCTGTCATATCAACCAAATTCTCAAGGCCTCCCTCCCCCAGCTCTAATGTCCATCTCTCTCCAAACAGCATTTTGTATCTTCAAAGCCATTTGCCAACATTAAGTAATTAATGCTAACCACATCCATTTGAGGATGGGATTTTCAAGGGTCTCTTATCCTCATTTTGCAGATGGGGAAACTAAAGCCTAGATATGCTGTTGCTTTGCATCTTTCAAGAAGATGCAACTTTCCTCTTACTGCCCCCAACATAGATTAGGTTATGGTTTAATGTGTGATGAGCAATCTAATCCTCTACTCCTCAAAGCAAGTGATCTATTTAGAAATAACTCTAGAAGATCAAAGTCCTCCATTTGAGCTAAGGACCGATGTGTTTATCCTTTCTAATAAAACATAAAGGCTCCAATGTCTACAGGAGGAGGAGCATTCACTGTCTCTCATGATCAAAGGGAAACATTAAGTAAAGCAAATTTTTGCTTTGAATGGAAATTGGGAGTGAAGCTTAGGAACAACTTAGAAGATTGTCTCTCTCTTTGTGCAAAACTGGGATAATGCGAGTCTCGTAAGAAAATTGCTATTTTCCCCAGCTTTCTGCAGAAAGTAACTGCCTCAAACTACTTACACTGAAAGACAAAGTAATGCCAAATTCCAGTTACCAAGATCTGTTGCAAAATAATTCTATAATGGATGCTGAAAGCAAATGCTTATCAATAACTTCTTCTCTAAGCCCTTGTTTAAAAAAAAAAATCTATCACTTGTACAAATGACTTGTCATGCAATAGAATCATAGAAGATATGGGTGTGACGGGTTGGATCACAGAAACCCCCTTGGGAGCTGCCACCTGATGTGCCTAGACTACCTCTGCTCCTGTTTTCCCTGCCAGCTCAGGACTCCAGCACCCTTTCTTGCTGAGCCAGACTCTCCCGTCTGCTCCAACAAAGACCCAGGGTCTGTATTACTTGCCCCAAAGCTGCAGGCTTACCTGAAAACAGCTCACAGAAGTGTG